ATATATAATTTTTAAAAACTACTAAAATAGTCTTCCCTTTACAACCGTATCTACTGATAAATTTTCTTCAAATACAGCATTCAAAATTGACATATTCACAACACACTGAAAAGGCAGATACAAAAATTCAACTGTCATCTATTCAGTTAACATTAGAAAGATCTGCAAATAAATGCAAACCAGTGATTGTTTTGGAATAGCTACTTTTCATTTAAAAATATACTATTTACGTGTTTTGTTTTTTAACACTGGTACATGAACCCAGAGCCATTACACTGGGCTCTATCACCAGCTCTTCGTTTAATTTTTATTTTGAACTTGCTAAGTTGCTACACTGACCAGAACTGGGCTGAAACTTGCAGTTCTCCTGTCCCACCCTCCAACAATGCTAGGATTATAGGTGTGTGCCACCACAACCAGCCACTTTTATTAAAGAACAAGTTTCTATCAATATCCTTTCTACATTAAAAACTGGTTTTTTAAAAAAATAAATTTTAAGCTAGTCACAATGGTGGCACAAACTATAGAAGGCTGAGGTAGGAGAATCATCAAGTTTGGAACCTACCTGGACAAATGTAGCTCAACACTAAGGCCCTGGATTCAATTCTTACCACCATTCTCCTACACAAAAAACTTTGCCTAATATATGTGTATCAATAGAGATAGCTCACAAGGATATAAGCTCTTTGTGATTCTTAATAAACTTTAAATGTATAAAGGTTGCTGAAACTAAAGTGTATAAAAACTGCTCAATAAAGGAATTACAGATATCTACTGAATTGTTTACATAACATAGTATTTGTAATAAAATACAATTTCACATAACATTGTCTTTACTATCTTTGTAGTGGTTTTTGCCATGTCAGGGACTATACTCAGAAGTTCTGCTATTTAAAACTACACCACTCCCCATTTCTTCTTAAAAGTAAACCTTTAAGAGACATATTCTGAATTTCAAGGAACAAAAAAAAAAGACAAATATAACTGTTACATAATTATTTGACTTGTTAACAAATCAAACAAAAAATTCAGCATTATTTTCAGTAATAGACAATAAAGTACTATTTTCTACATTGAAAGTAAAATCTAGTCCTAAACTGGTATCTATCTTTCAACTTCAAAATTACTTTCTACAAAAATCAAAATCACAAAGTAAGATTTCATTAATAAGAAAAAAAATTACCAAGCCCATATCATCAGCTAAAACTCCCCCATGGACATTTTCTGGTCGTTCCTTCTCAGAAAAATTTGTTATTGTGTTATAGTATAAGTCATTATGCTGTTCCCAGAATGGTGGAAGTTCGTTACTGTTTTCTCGTGAAATCATCCAAGCTAGAGCTTGTTTCTGATGTGAAAGCAATGGTGTTTCAATAGCCTATAAAGAAAATGTCATAAAGATACAGTAAGTCCTTTTTGTTCCCATAAGCAGAAGAAAGTGCTTTGTGATAAGAAATGTACAAATTACTGATATATTTAAAAATTTCTCACTTTAAACAAAAAGTAATTGTACAATACCTCAGCTGGTTCCATTTCCTGAGTTTTATCATCTTCTTTTAAATCTTCAAACAATCTGTCAAATTCTGTTTTAAGCTACAATACACAGCAACAACACACATTAAGAAAATCAACTAAAGGAATAATTACACCTAATTCAGAGGTTTCAAATTAGCTAGTTAAAAGAATCAAATGTCAAAAGGTATATAAATTAACTGAGATACTACACTGCTCACTGAAGGTAGAACAAACAGGGAATTTTGTTATAAACAATAACTATACTATATCTGGAAGCAAACAGAAAAGAGTTATAAGAGATATGGCTGCATACAGCTCAGAGGTACAGTATGCTTGCCTAGCAGGTAACTGTATAAGGACCTGGGTTGGATCTTCCACACTAAATTTTTAAAAGAGGGGACAGAGCCAAGCATATAGCTCAACAGTACAGCACTTGCCTGACAAGCTCAATGTCCTGAATACCAAAAAATAAAAGAAGGTGGCAGAAGTTGTAAGTCTGGTTTTCAGTCTAAGTTCTGGCACAAAAAAAGCATATATACATTTGACCAAGGGACTTAACCTTTTTGGACTTGTATAGTATCTTACCCCTATAAAATGAAAGGAATTAACTAAATTTAGACAGTTACCAAGATTCTTCCTGTCATTAAAATTCGATTCCTTTTAGTTGCATTCAAACTATTTTGGTATCCTAAAAAATACATATGACCCTTTTACAAGTAAATGACATTTTATTGACACAGTAACTTACTATTGTGCTATAAAATACCTGTATTTCATTATTATGCTAATTTAGCTGGCCATCTAAATTGATCCAGTCCAATTTCACAGCAATATATACTACATGTGTTATAACTACTTTGGCAAAATAAGACAGCCTATAAAAAGTATCAAGACAGGTTCAAGAAGTTAGCAGTGGCTGACTAGGGTTTGCCCACCTGACACAAGCTCAAGACTGTCTAACAATAAGCAGAGAAAATATGGTAACCACAATTGGAAGACAAAAACATAACAGCTTTGGATAGAGACATCAAAAAAAGGTTTTTTTATTTTGTTTTTTTATTTTTATTTATTTATGGGGGGGCCAACTCAGCCCACCAGGGGGGCGGTGCTGGCTGGCATGTGGTGCCGGGGGATTGAACCGCGGTACCTGTGCTTTGCTAAGCTTGTTCTAAATAGGTGCTTTAGACCACTGAGCCATCTCACCAGCCCCCCCCAAAAAAAAGGTTTTTTTTAATCATTTACTTATTTATTTATTTGGTACAGGGTCTCACTATGCAGTTCAGACTCACATTGACCCTCCTGTCTCAGTCTTCCCAGCACTAGGATTTCAGGTACGTGCCACCATGCCTGATTTCAGTAGCCAGCATAGCACACCCAGGGTGCCTGGTTTTGTACTTGCCAGGCAGGGGCTTAAACCATCAAGTTATCTCCCTAGCCATTTTAAAGTTGTTTTTGTTTTTGTTTTAGTTTTTGTTTTTAAGTGGTTGGTATTACTGTCTAAGTTTTTTCTGACTAACTCTAGGTAACAGGATTCTAGCTTACAAATTAGACAAAGTAAAAAGTAGTGTAATGCCAAAGACTCAGAGTTGATTTTTTAGTACTACATTTGCAACTTTACTAAAAGAAGAAGTGAATGCTTAAAATTACTACTTAGGACCAAGGAGATAACTCAGTGGCACAAGCGCCTGCCTAGCAAGTCCAAGGTCCTGAGTTCAACCCCCAGTACCAAAACAATAAATAAAATAGAATTATTAAATATTTTTTAAATTTTAAATTCAAAAATATCCCACATATATCCAGGTGTGGTATCACATGCCTGTAATCTCAACACTCATTAGGCTGAGACAGGCCAGCCTGGGCCACATAGTAAATTCAAGGCCAGCTTACACTACTACAAAGCAAGACCTTGTCACACATACACAGCTGTGAACATGTTTTTACTGTATATATGAATGTGTGCATATGGATATACAGCAAGTATTCCTTATTACAAATCTAACCTAAGCCACAATTTAAAAATGTAGTAAGCCTACGATCATTGTATGTGCTGAATATATATGCCTACTTCTCAAATTTATATTATTCCTTAAACAAAACATAGAGCAACTATTATATAGCATTTACGTTATATTAGGTATTTTTAAAAAACTAGGAATGGGACCAGGGAGATGGCTCAGTAGAATAAGTGCTTTCCTGGCAAGCACAAAGTCCTGAGTTCAATCCCTGGTTCCACCAAAAAAACAGAGAAATTAGTAAAAAACTAGGAATGATTTAAAGTATATAAAAGATGCACACATATATACAAATACCATGTCATGTTAGGTATGTTTGGGGATCCTGAATAATTAATTTCTGTGGATACTGAGGTACAACTGTATTATTTATCAATGCTTTTTAGATGACATTTCCAAATATATATAAGTAATAGATTTATTAATATTAAATATTATACAACAGGTTTTATTACAATTTTAATAATACAGCTGAGAATCATTGATACAAGCATATAAATATTTGTTCTATTCCTTTAAATATCAATCATCATCTAAAATGTATATTTAGATTATAGAAAAATAAAAAGAGAAGCACACCTGTTCAACTGTCATCTGTACTGCAGCATGAACTGGCATACTATAGCTTGGTCCAGCTCTTCTGCAGTTCCAAGAACTTTCCAAACTAAATCTTACAGCTGCAATTTACAGGAAAAAAAATAATAATAAAATCAAATAAAAATAAAAAGTAGCTTTATAAATTTTTAAGATAAAGTGCTGAAAAATTTCCACTACAAACAGGCATGGACACATGTCTGTAACTTCAGCATGCTGGGAGGGTAAGGCAGAAGGATCTCAAGTTCAAGCCCAACCTGGGCAATTCAGAAACAGAGCAAGATTGTATACCTCAATACAAAAACTTAAAGTGCAGGGAATGAAGGCCTTGGACTCAACTCATTATGACACCCCAAAAAATAAAAATTTCCCATAGGGCTTGAGATGTAGGTAAGAATATTTGTCGAGCATAGGAAAGGTACAGGGTCTACTATCTAGTACTGAGAGAGAAAAAAAAAGCAAGTTAAGCATTCTATCACTGTGGTACATTCTTGGCCCTAAAACAAAATTTAAAGACAAATAATAATCACTCTATAAACATTATTAAAATAATCCCACAAAATTTAAATAATCCTGCCCAACAATCTTTTTATTCTCTCTTAGGAGACTCTTTTAATCTAAAATTTATTAAAAAGAATATTTAGAGTCAGATGCGGTGGTGCACATCTGTAATCCCAGCAAGTGGGAAGTGAGGCAGGAAGATCACAAGTTTGAGTCCACCTAGGAAATGTCAGACTTTATCTCAAAAGGGGGTGGGGAAATTCAAAGGATATAGCTCAGGGAAAAGCACTGGGAGAAATAAAGAGAGGGTAGCATCAGAATTCCTTGTGTATTTTTACGGACATGTGACTATATACAGGTCATGCACTCCATGTTGATGTTTCAATTACATGTAATATATTAACCAAATACCTAAAAGTGCCCTAGTGAGAATATATGTTCAAATGATTCATAACCATTTTAGTTCGTGTAAGTACACTGATGTTTGCACAACATCAAAAATCACCTATGGCAAATTTCTCAAAAACTGTCCTTATTGTTAGTTACTCATTACTATTTTGAAAGAAAACACAAAACTTCAGATTTCTTCAGACTCCAAAAAGAATTTAATTTGGAGCCTTCGGCACAAAGCAATTAAGCCACAAAGCAATTAAGCCAACCAAATTCAAAAATAAACATTCTGTAATCCTTGTACCTTATAATCAAAATGATATTAAATCCTAAACTTACCTTTTGGTGGAGGACTCAGTTTAAATCCATGTTTCTTCAACTGATCTAAAACTTCTTTTTTATTTTCTTCTTTCCCCCAAAAAGTCATATGCAGAGGCATGGTAAAAGTATTACTTGCACCAAAAGGAACTACCCTATTATATTGAGAGAAGAAAATGGGAAATTATAAGTTATTTTTATTTTATATAAGAATCTGTTAACCACATAACCCAAGTAAGCCTTTCAAATTTTGCACGGCAAGAAAATAAAAGAGAGTCACTGGGCAGACCTCAAAATGAAAAAGAACAAGAAATAAAATGAGCCACAATACAAGAACAGGTGGTTTGGGGAAAAAGAATGCCAAAATAAATTGAGAGAATGAGGCAAAGCTATTTTAAAACACAAGGATAAGGCCAAGTGTGGTGGTACACACCTGTAATCACAGTACTCAGAAGATAGAGGCAAAAAGATCACCAGGGATTTTGAGGCCAACCTGGACTACATAGTGAGTTCAAGGTCAGTCTGAACTACAGAGCAAGACCCTGTCTCAAGAAAGCAAAAGCAAAATAAAAAAACACAAGTACAGCTCACACATAAGACTATAAAATAAAGCAGTAAATTTATATGAGTACAGCTTTGGCTAAGAGAATCACTGAAAGTTAGCTACTCACTGCTGGGAGGGTGAAAAATGATTATCAGAATTTTAATTGATAGATTAAAATTAAATTAAATTAGATTAAGATCTTAGTTTAACCTAAGATTAACTAAAATTCTATCCTCAATACTTGAAAAAAACAGCCTGATGTGGAGAACACCTATAATCCCAGCACTCAGTAGGCTGAGGCAGGAAGATCACTGCAAGCTTGAGGCCAGATATAAACTAAGTTCAAGACCAGCCTGAACTGCACAGTTAACCCTGTCACAAGAAGGCAACCAGAGACAGCTCACTAGAATAAGTACTTATCTGGCAAGCGCAAGGGCCTGAGCTCAATCCCTGGTTCTGCCAAAAAAAAGGAAAGAAAGAGAAGAGCTGGCCAAATAGCTCAGCAGATTAAAGTGCCTGCAAGCAGGCACAGGGCTTTGGGTTCGATCCCCGGGCCTGCCGTACCAGCTCTGCCCCCAAGTTGCACTGAGACAGCAAATGAGACTGGGCATGGTGGCACAAGCCTGTAATCCCAGCTTTTGGGAGGCTATGAACAGGCAGACCACTACAAGTCCAATCTAGTAGTGAGACCCTGAATCCTGTAGACCCCTTAAAAATAAATAAAAAGAAAAAGAAAAAAAAAAAAAACTTAAAACATTTGAAAAACTTGACGAATTAAAAAAGGAAAAAAAGACAGTGCTTATTTTCCGTAAGTTTGGAGTACCCTAAAACGCTAGTTTTGGGGTATAAATATCCTAATTTTTTTTTGGGGGGGATGGAACCGGGGATTGAACTCAGGCCCTTGTGCTTTCCAGGAAGCACTTATTCTACTGAGCTATCTTCCCCGGTCCCCTTATCCTAAATATTTAAATTAAGATCAGAAATACAAACGACTGTAAGAAAAGGTAACTAAGATGAGAATGAGAGCTTCAAAAAAATAAAATACAAAGAGGTGGAAAAGTGTGAGCACACGTCATAGCTAAAGAAACTATTTCTCAGTTCTTTCTAGTCAACTGATATTATGTGAAAACAAATGTCCAGCATTGCCAGACCTTCAACTAATCAAGACTTTTAATGTATGCTTTACATTTAGAAAAAAAATTAATATGTAGAATAGTTATATATTAGAAATAATGTTCAAAACAGTAAGCAAAATGAAACATCTCCATCTAATCACTTATTATCAGCTTATAACCTGATTTACAATTCCCAAATTCATGAATTCAAAATTTGTAAAGATGGCACACACTACCTAATATGTGATCCAAAGTCTTTTTTTACCATAGTAATAATTAATAGGCAAATGAGAGGACAGCTGTTTGATAGCTGGGCAGAAGTAGGTAAGACAACTGCTACTGGGCTGGCAGGATAGCTCAGTGGACTAAGCACCTGCTTAGGTAAGTGCAGGGACTGGGGTTTGATCCCTGGCACCACATGTCACTCCGGCCCTGCCTCGGGGCGAGCTGAGCCAGCCACCTAAATCTAAGCATTAAGGAGGCTAAAAACAGGAGGATTACTATAAGGAGCTACATAGTCAGATTCTGTTCCAAATACATAAAAATAAAAAGACAGGGGCTGGAGAGATGGCTCAGTGGTCTAAAGCACCTACTTAGAACAAGCTTAGCAAAGCATCGGGGACCGCGGTTCAATCCCCCAGTACCACATGCCAGCCAGCCCCGCCCCCTGGTGGGCTGAGCTGGCCACACACACACACCACACTCTCTCTCTCTCTCTCTCTCTCTCTCTCTCAAATAAAATAAAAAAAAAAAAATTTTTTTTTAAAAAAATAAAAAGACAACCGATAAGAACAGGTAACTAAAGGTACAATGATTAAAAAGTGTTATACCTTTAGAAACTCTAAGAAAAAGCCTTAACAAGTTGAACAGTAACTACACCTCACAATTATTAAAATTAAACTCTGAAAATACATTACCCTTCCACTTGGGCCAATTTGTTGTCCATGATATAGGCCAGAGCAATTGCAAGATCTTTCTTTAAATAGCCAACCTGATCTCCATTCACATTATTTACTTTAATAGCATTCTTATCATAAGTGTTATTAGGCTCTCGCTGTAATGCAACCATTTCATTATCATTAACCTAAAAAAAAAAGAAAAAAAGCATTATATTAGAAACACAAACAGTGATAACTTGACATTATTATACTTGATTTGGGATTTCTATTCATCTTTGGATGATACTATAAACACTGCACAACAGAAAAATATATTTGTTTGGACTTAAGCTAGAAATACTAATTCTTCTATACTGTTTTCTAATTTACATTCATTGGCAGGTTTATAAATTCTTCATATGTACACCATAGAAAATTTTTACACTGTTAATTTCTGAAAAACAGCTCACCTTTATTGCATGCAATGCACAGACTAATTTTTAAATCCTTATAACCCTCTCAGTACTATCATTCCTTTTTTGCATGCAAAGAGACTAAAACACAAAAAACTAATAGTTTACTCAAGGTAACAAAGCTAATAAACTGCAGAGCTAAGATTTGAATCAGGCAAGTTCTTGGGCCTGAATTCTCCAAAATCTTAACAGTCAAAAAAAAAAAAAAAAAAGAAAGACAGCAAGAGTCTGAGACATGAGAAAATATATCTAGCCTCAAACTTATGTCATTCTCTTGATTTCACTTGACTGAAAAACATGTAAGGGTGACAGAAAATAATAGAATAAGGACTTCCAAAAAAATCACTCCTCCACAAAAGTGAACAGAAAAACTTTTAAAATCAACTCTTTCTGAACTCTAGAAACCAAAGGTTGGTAGAAATCTGAGTGCTTATTCAAGAAAAATGGCTGAATACCAAGGTCTCCAGTAACTTTTAACAATACTTTCATCAGCCTACTGGGATTCCTGATGAACCATGGCAGTCATCAGAGGGAACAGAATGAAGTTATAGCACTTTCAAAGATTTGTTCCCAAAAAAACTGCCATTATTTGAAGTATCTGATAGCTTTATAGAAGAACCCACCTGCAAGCTTGGTTGTATTTAGCTTTTAAACACACTTTAGCGGTAGATGAGAGAGCTCCCTTGAGCAAGTATTCATCAAAAAGATTTCACAAGCAAGCGTTACAATTTCATTACACCTGTGCTAGACATGCAATTAAAGAATTTAATGTTTTCCCTGCTGGATTTTGGATTCATGTTAGTCTCATACCTTCCTATCCATAGCACTATTCCTACCTTTTGGGAAGGTAATGTTTATGCTGTGCCACTGTACACTGGAAGTGTTGGACTTTCTCCTCATTTCACATGAGCTTGCAGCTAAGAGTTTGCCTTACACCTCAGAGGAGAATTTAACTTGAATTTGAAACTGTCAGGACTTTGGCAACTCTTAAGAGATCAAGCAAATGCATTTTGCATAAAGAGACATACATGAATCTTCTGAGGGTCAGAGGCAGAATGTTATGGCTAATAACTAGACATCCTCTCAAAGTCTCATGTACTCAGAGGTGGGGCTCTTAGGAGTGACTGAAGCATGGATGTATGATACTGGATCTGTCCACTGACTAATGTAGCATAGTTCTGAGTGTCAATGATAGATTTACTAAAGAGGGAAGACCCAAACTGAATGTGGGTGGCTTGCAGCCTGAATGAAATAAAAGGGGAAGAATAAAAAAAGGGCAGAAGAGGAAGCTTCACTGTCTCCTGCCTGTCACAACATAAACTGTTTATCCTCTGTCATGCTGCCCCTGGCTTGGAATCAGCCAATACAATTTTTTTTTTTTTTTTTTTTTTAAGAACCAGGGATTGAACTCAGGCCCTTGTGCTTGCCAGGTAAGCACTTATTCTATAGAGCTATCTCCCTGGCCCCCAGGCAATACATTTCAAACTATCACCAAATAATCTAAGATACTCCAAAGTAAATATGGGATAATAAAAAGCGAAATAAACCCAAAGCATGGAACTCTTCCTAAGAGTTCTGCAGAACATACTTCAGACAATCAAAAAATTGACTGCGGAGCAGGGAGATAGGTCAGTGGCAAAAGCACCTACCTGGCAAACATAAGGTCCTGAGTTCAATCTCTGGTACCCCTCAAAAAATAGAACACACACAGGAAAAAAAGGTACAAAATACTCTTACAATAAAAAAAAGGACTTAAAGAAGACAACTCCTTTATCTACTAAAACTTTCTAAATGAAAAATACGGGCTGGCCAGATAGCTCAGCAGGTTAAAGCACCTGCTTAGGCAGATGCAAGGGCTGGGATTCAATCCTCAGCCTGCTGCGCTGGCCCCACCCCCAGGGTGTGCTGGGCTGCAGCTGAGACTGGGTGTGGTGGTGTGCGCCTATAATCTCAGCACTTGGGAGGCTGAAAACAGGAGGATTACTGTGAATCCGATCTGGGTATAGAGACCCTGTAGACCCTGTACCAAATACAAACAAATAAATGAAAATTATTAAATGTGTTCAGGAACAGGAAAAAGCAATGGACTTGGAAGTCATTTTCTAAATTCATTATATAGAGCCAGCAAGATAGCTCAGCAGACGAAGCACCTACTTAATTAAGCAAGTACAGGGACGAGGGTTCAGATCCCTGGTACCAATTGCCACACTGGCCACACCTCCTGGGCGTGGTCAGCCAACCATTGAGACTAAACATAATAAGAGACCTAATGTAGTATGCAGGCCTGTAACCCCAGCATTGGGAGACAAAAACAAGAGAATCAATGATTCCAAGCTACTTCGTACCTAATACATAAAAAAAAATTACTATATAGAACCACTGTACTTTGGGAAAATCTTTTTAACTTCTGGAGCTTTACTTTCCTTGTTCCTGAAAAGGGATAATAGATGCCCTATGTCAGTTATTGTAAGATTAAATGATAATGCATGCAAGTGTTTTATATATTCTAAGTTTGATACAAATGCAAAAGATCAAAAGTAGGTATATTATCTCATTTGCATTTATTTCAATTAAAGTAAAAGGTTAATTGTATATATCACCTTCTAATACTGTTTCCTAGATTAATACCATAAATATATCACAATTTAACATATTATCTATTTTTATACTCACTAGTCCTGTGTAATAGCGTAGCCCAACCACGTGACCTCGTAAAGTTCCAAAAAAAACTGAATCTAACTCTTCATCACTAGTTAGGAAGTCATCTGAAGGAAAAACATCTTGGAATTCAAAACGTGGAAAGAAATTTGGATATGGTAGGCGTGGACAATTTCCTTGGACTCTAGACTGTACAGTTGGTAAGTACTTCCAAACAGAATCCCTAGTAGGAAAAAAAAAAAAAAAAAAAAAAAGCACTGTGAAACTACAGTATCTAACCAAGTATTTCTCAAAAACCATGGACTAATAGTTATAGGTCAATAGTTTTCTCACACTTTATTTAAACAAATAAAATCTTACATAAGAATCACTATAAACAGATTGAAAATTACTCTTCTGTAAGCTGACTTTTAACTACTCTGGGAGCTGGGGAGATAGCTCGGTGGTCTAAGTGCCTGCCTGACAGCACAAGCCCTGAGTTCAATCCCGGTACCATGTGCCCTGCTGGCCCTAGAACCCCAGCACCCAGTTTTGGTGGCTCACACTGGTAATCCCAGTGCTGGGGAGATGGAGACAGGAGGATCACTACAAGTCTGAGCTGCATAATGAGACCCCATATTCAATAAATAAATATGTTTTTAAACAACAATAATTCCTCTGGTTAAAGTAAGAATTCACAGGCCGGTCAAATAGCTCAGCAGATTAAGGCACCTGCGTAGGCAGACACAGGGATTTGGGTCCAATCCCCAGCATGCTGTGCCAGCCCTGCCCCAAGGGGCATGCTGAGACAGCGAGTGAAACTTCATGTGGCAGCACACGCCTATAATCCCAGCTCTTGGGAGGCTGAACACAGGCGGATCACTACAAGTCCCATCTATGTCATGAGACCCTGTAGACCCTGTACTAAAATACAAAATAAAAAGCAAGTATTTACAGAGAAGATCTCTAAAAACCCTATTTAATATTAGATCTACTACGTCAATGGTACTATTCAAAATGAGGGGAAAAAAAATGAGGGAAAAAAAAAAATAAGGGTTCACAAATGGGTTTTACAGTAAAAAAAATCTATTTGAATATAAATGTACATAATATCTATAACCACAATTACATGCTGAGATTTCAATGTTGATTAACCTAGAAAAGACTTGCAAAACACAGAACTATTATTACACATGAAGCTATTTTTCTTTTCAGGTAATATAGTATTCATTACTTTATCTCTGGACAAAACACACATTATTCCAGTATACAACTATGCCAGCAGATTTATATAATCTACATAACGAAATGTGAAATTTATATAATTTTATTCTGGTATCTATGCTAGAGGATTTATATAATTTGTATACAAAAATATTAAATTTATATAATAAAGCCAGAAAAAAGTTGTAAAATATAGTTTACAATAATTATTCACATTCAATACATACAACAGCATAGCACAAAAAAATTAATTCAATCCAAATAATTCATATATTAGATTTTAAATAACATAGCCTAAACTACACGTCCACAATAACCAGAATATAACCCTTAAATAAGAATAAAAACAGGGCCAGTGAGACAGCTCAGCAAACTAAGTGCCTGCTTAGGCATCACAAGCCATGCCAGCCCCACGCCCAGGGTGAGCTGAGCAGGCCAACAAGACCCAGCGTGGTAGCACACACCTGTAATCCCATTGTTGAGGAGGCTGAAAACAGAAGTATCACTACAAGTCCGAACCGTGTAGTGAGACCCTGAACAAAATACATATAAATACATACATACTTAAAAAATAAAAATAGAAAAGGAAAATAAAAGCCAAGCATGATGGCACAGGCCCACAATCCCAGCACATAGGAGGATGAAGCAGGAGGAACGCTGTGTTGGAGACCAGCTTGGGCTACAAAGTGAGCTCAAGGCCAGCCTAAACTGCATAGTGAGACCCTGTCTCAAAAAGACAAAAAAAAAGAAAGAAAGCAAAAGAAAAAGTGTATGTTTTAGTATCATTGCCTTGTTTTCATAAAGCTTTGTTTTGTATTAATTTTTGCTTTTCTGTACAGCTACAAACAAGGTAGAGAATATTACACTTGTTCTTACTGCCACCAACCTAAAGAATAGCAACATACTATTTATTCATTCTATTTTATGTGGCTATGGAACAGCTGCAGCAAGCCTAAATACTGTAGTATTTATTCTGTCCACGTGCAAACTATAGTCAAAATAGGGACTTTCACCTACACAATAACCTACCTGTAGTCATAGCCAGACATTAGAGTAGGGTACATGGAACTAAAGGGTTTGCCTTTTGTAAAAAAAATTCTCTGTATAGAGTTTGGTGTTTCTTCATATTTAAAAAATTACTTACAGGGAAAATTCAAGGATTCTCATGGCTCATTCATTTTCCCACCATGATCAGCTCAGCAATGATAAAACTGTTCTTTGCTGGAAACTCCCAACTATGTAGTCTTGGGCCAGTAGCCAGCAACCTTCAGAGGCTCTGGAAGTGGCTCCAGCCCTGATTCAAGGGCAGTTGTCATAGGTTCTGCCCAAGAATGAGCTAGGCTTACTTAAGTCACTATCTAGTCATTTTAGGTTTGCAAAGAAACAAGATGGAAAAAGATGGAAAATGACATCTTCTAGTACTCACTACCTTTACCATACTCTCACGAGGGCGACAACCACTGAAGATTTAGCAATGATCACCCTGGATCTGTGGACCAGTAAAGAGTCCAGAGGGGCTCCAAGGAGGACAGGCAGCCCAATTCTGCATAATTCTGCCATAAACTCTGGTAGACTCAAGTGGCACTGAACATGGACCCATATAAATCTTCATGTATATTTCCCCTCAGAATCAATGGACCCAACTAACCTGCAGATACAAGAATTAATCAAGTGTGGGTGGGGTGGCCTGGACTTACAGACCACTAGTTACCCTGAAGCACTGTAGGTAGGAAGGAGAAAACCTTATATTCATACCAACTGGGTCATCCACGCTCTAAAGGGAAGAAGGCTAACTACTTTGCTGTCCCAAACCACAAAGACATAGTTGACCTCTTACCACTTCCCCACCCCGCTGAATTAAAGAAACTCCCCAAACCCCTCTTACATGATTTCAGGAATGGCACGAAAACTACTTTGGATAATGAAAAGTAACATATCTGTTGGGGGCCTCCAGGAAGCTTTCACTTTGCGCTCTACGTTCTTCTTGCACCTCTCACATACCTCTTTAAAATCCTCTACAAAAAACAGGTTTGCAAGCCTGTGCATGCTTAGAAACTGTGCTGTGCTTGGAGACGAAGGCTGTCTTAGCTCTCTATCCCATCACGATGCCTATCGCACAGAAAGTATGTAATAGATATTCTACTGAATAAAGCGCCAGGCGAGAAGCTCTGAGCCCGAGACCTCCGCCCCCAAGTCCGTGACAGATTCCGCAAGGCCCTGGCACGAGACTCGTCAGAGGTGCAGCTCCTCGACACCACGAAACTGCATTTTTCTGGTAGCTTCACAAACGACTAACCGAAGGAATACAAACTACACACATTGCGCTGGAAATGCGGAGGAAACGCCTCGAAAGGTCAGGTTCATTCAGGGGGCCGCCGGGCCGTTAGCTCCGCCGCCCCACCCCCCTCCGTTTCCCTTCACCTCTTAAACCAAGACATGGCGCTGAGTGGGATGACGACAATGCCTGGACGCCCCTATTCGTTCTCAAGCCGCCCTGACAAGATTCTTCTTAGGCCCTACAGCCCAGAAGCCGGAGTCTGGTTCTTACAACCTCACGAAGAGCGCGCGACCACAGACTCAGACGCAGCGCGTCCAGTCAGAAGCCTACGCCGTCTCTTTCTGGCAACAAGCTGAGAAATCGGCGACGCTCTGCGATTGACACGGGCAACGTCCAATCATGAGGAAGAGCCTTCAGAGATAAACCAATCAGACTACGGAAAAGAGAGCAACTCCGCCCTGCGGTGCCCGTCGAAGAATGTGGGGCTGCAGGGGCGGTTCCATCCGGGTTCTTCTCCGCCCCCAGAGCGGGCGCGCGGGAAAGTTCCACGAGGTTCGGCGCACCGGTGCGCGCTGTAGTGATGCTGTCTGACTGAAGCATATCTCCACATTGTGACGGCTGTGCTTTTCGCGATTTCCCCAAAGCCCTAGTTTTCAGGCCTAATATTATACTGTCTAACGTTTTCTTACCTGACGAACTTAAAAGGATCTTCCACTGAGTGAACTCTGCATTTTAAAGACCAAAACCTGTCAGATAACTTTTCTTCATTTTTCTATGGTCAGCCCTGGGCCCTTAAGCTAGTGTCTGCCATTTTTATGACTAGTCAGAGTATCTGAGACACACAAATTCCAGAAAATCTAAATGAGAATATACAGATTTCTCCACCCACCTCTTGTTTCTGAGGAAAACTTTTATTTCTTGATACAAGAAAGCCATAAAATAGGCTAACAGGAAAAATAACCGTGTTGGCCACGGCCGGAAATGGGTGGTGGGACCTCCTCTCACAGAGGCTTGTGGCTGTCCCGGGCTGGGAACGCCGGTTTCCTCTGGGAGTTCAGGGTGCACTCTGAGGCTGCTGCAGCCGGCTCTCAGAGGTCTCAGGTAAGTGGAAGAGAAAGTCTGCCTGGCAACAACAGTTGGCCTGTGAGTCCACCTCAGCCAACACCTGACAGGGCTGGATCCCGCATGTTGCTGCCCACCCACAAGGGGCGTCTCGCTGCCCGCGAAGCAGCCATTTAAGTCCTGCTGCGTCTGCGCCCGTGCCATGGTAGGAAGTTAGTAGTGACCCTGAGCTGCGTATGAGGCCGACTGAGACTGTCGGAATTGCAGGATCAGAAAGGGAAAGTATTTATAAGGGTTAGGATCGACACTTGCCCTTCACTGAATGATCAATTTTGTGCTTGCTCTCATTAGCAGAGGAGGAGAGGAATTATTAAAGTTTTTCAAGAAGCATCATGGGGCCGGGGAGATGGCTCAGTAGAATAAGTGCTTCCCTGGCAAAGGCAAGGGTCTAAGTTCAATCCCTGGTTAAAAAAAAAAAAAAAAAGCAACATTTCAATATCTTAAATTGTGGCAGTCTGTTGCCATAACCAGCAGTGAGAGCGACAATTTGTGTGGGGAGGGGACAAGTTTGTTGAGAATGGAAACCAGGGTCCCAGAGCATTTAAGTAGATGCTCTGTCGCTGTGCTACATCGCCAACCTCCAACAACTGAATCTGAAGCAATTTATTACCTCCTTTCACTAAACAGAAAAAGCGTTAATGAGGAAACCCATGACAATTGCATTTCGAGCTATCTAGTTCTTCTAATTTCTTCTCCAAGTATTATAAGGCAAATGGAAATGCAATTCAATCTTTAGTGCACTGGATTCTAAATACATTCTTGGAAAATACATCAGAAAAATGTCCAAATTGATGATGTTTTTTATGTAAAGTTAATGAAGCCATGTTCATTAAAGTGAAAGAGAAAATTCCAAATGGGAGAATAAAGCTCTTTCACGATGTATAAATAACAGTAGTCTCCTGGCTAATGAATACAACGTATGCAATAAAATTTGCCCTATGAAAGTCCAAACTTTACTCAATTTTTGTCAAGACTTTATATTCTAGAGCCAGCAGTTGAATTTGAATACTTTTCAATCTAATTAGTCTTTATTTTAAAAAGAAAGTGCAATTTATAATAGTTTGACTTAAATGTTGCAACCACCACACTAGATGTTTTCTTTAAAAAATGAGCATTTGTAACTGAACAAAGAACTGTAAGGTGTAAAAAAAAATTAAAAATAAATAAAAATTTAAAAAGAACTGTAAGGTGGCTTGGTGACTTGAAAATTCAGAGGAAAGGAAACAGAAAAAGATAATGTGCAAGGTAAAAGCAAGATTATGAGTGAATTTAAGATCTATGGTAAGTAAACTTTCTTTTAACTATAATGAATAGTCACTGAGTATTTTTAGCAATAACATAATAATCTGCTTTCAATTTTTAAAAAATCCATTGGCAGTAGTGTGGAAAAACGATTAAGGGGCTCAGGAATAGTGGTATTGACCATGAAGAAAATACTGTGCCCAGGTATAATGATGGCTTGGAATACAGAAGTGATAAAGCTGAAAGAACCAAGAAAGTTCAGGTTTGGGTATGAGTAATGAGGAAGTGACACAGTCATAACACACTCAGACACCACCAGGAGGACAGGCACAGGTAGAATCCCTTAACCTGCTGCTCATTAAAGCATGATTTGTGTTTGCTTTTGGGATAATCAGGAACTTAGAAGCCATTTTTGTTAAAAAAAAAATAGACTCCTCACTTGAACCTACAGATGCCCAATATGTAACAAAAAGACATGATCAAAATATACAGTATATATTTTAAAATTATTACATTTGGACTGGGGATATAGCTCAAAGGCACAAATATCTGCCTCCTGAGTTCAATTTCCAGTGCCAAAAAAAAAATTTTTTTTCTTAAAAATTATGAAAAAAAAAACCTTCTCACTTGGGGGACAGGGAGATGGCTCAGTAGAATAAGCGCTTCCCTGGCAAGCACAAGAGCCTGAGTTCAATCCCCAGTTCAAAAAAAAAAAATATATATATAACAGTAAAAACACTGCCATTAATCAAAATACTCCCCCTTACTTCAAACACATCTATCCTATCATTCTTGCAACTTTATTAAAGAAGCAGTCTGAAAGTGCTCTTTCACAAGTGTCTTACGAGGCATGATAGAAAATATGGTGACTCCTGCTACTGAGCACCATCCGATGTAAAGGCAGGTACATAAGAAACATTACATGGGTCCTTACCCACCTTATATTACCAGGGCCTGGCACACTGCAAATTGTGGCTGTTCCCACAGTCAGAATGATCACATATGAAAAGTATATAGTTTGAGCACAGGGACAAGGATTCAATCCCCAGGGTGCTGTGCCAGCCCACCCAGTGGCATGCTGAGACAGCAACTGAGACTGAGCATGGTTGTGCACACCTATAATCCTGGCACTGAGAGGCTGAAAATAGGCAGATAACTATGGGTCCAATCTGTATAGTGAGACCCTGCAGATCCTGTACTAAATACATGAGAGAAAGAAAGAAAGAAAGAAAGAAAGAAAGAAAGAAAGAAAGAAAGAAAGAAAGAAAGAAATTGGGGTTTTGGTTTTTTGAGACATGGTCTCTCTGTGTATTCCAGGCTGGCCTTGACTCACTGTATAACCCAATCTGGCTTAAAGTCTCCTGCCTCAGCCTCACAAATGCTATGATTATAGACATGCACCACCATGCTCTGCTGAGAAAAGTAAATGTTGTGAATTGATTCAGGAAATCAAGACAGTCATGAGAGTGCAACTAAAGATACTCAAGTTGTAAGGATTCTAGAGCTGAGATAATGATCAATGGACCCCTGCCCCCACCCCCATCCCCCCAGTTAACCCTCAAAAGCTGGCCTGCTGCCTTGGAGAATTTTAGAGTTCGCCAGTCTGATCTCCTTTATCACAGTGTGCCCTCCAGCTACTCAAACTGGAGTCATTTTCAATTTTTCTGCTTCCCCTTTGTTAAGGACCAGCTGATCTTTGTCAGCTCCTCAAGCTAAAGCCCTTACTATTGCCTCTCACTTTTTAAGTAAACCTTTTCCTGTAAATTTGTGCTCTGATTTTCATTTCCCTTATTACTAAAAGCAAGGACCCACTCTAGCCAGCAACAGAAAGAAAAGGAATCGAAAATTCCTTCAGCCACCTACCTATCAGTTACACATTTCTCCTGCCCTCACTCTATGCACATTATGATGCTATTCCCATTGGATTGGGTGAGTGAAATCCAGTGGTATGTGTGGCTTTCATTATCTGTCCGCTTCCTCTCACTCTAAAGTTATTGCTACTGCTGCTTCCCAACCCACCTTCTCTATAATGCCTTCACTAATTTCTCTAAAAATGATCAATATTTTCATGTGTAACTTAAAAAACATTGTCATGCCTATCAAAGTTAATAAGTTAACCTTTATTATCTTCCAATAACTAGTTTGTAATCACATTTTCAGTGTGAAATATTTTTTGAACTTTGAAAAGCAGAATTTTAGACCCAGCAAAGAGGAGGAGGAGGAGGAGGAAGGGGGAAAAAAGGAGAAGGAGAAGAGAAAAAAGCCACTTTAAGAGAATGAACCTGGCTTCAATATAGAAATTCCAAGTTTAGGTCACAGTTAATAGAATCCAGAAGAAAGTTACTGGCTACTTAGATCCACATGCTTGCTGCCCCCAAAAAAACTCAAAGGCAATTTATTTCAGTGAAAGGGGGAAAAGGTTTTACCCAAAGTTACCTCCAGACAAATGGGAGAGAACTTGTCACAAATCCGCATCTCACTCTGTGAAAGAGTGAAAGGGCCTTTTAAACAAGGAAGGGAGAGAAGAGGAAAAACAACAGTTCCATGGACAATTCCAAGCTTGCTCAATCTTCCTGGCTGTCTTCTACTCCCTCCCTTCTCTGTGGAACTAGAAGTGGACTTTGCCCTCCTGATGCCAGCATTTCATAGTTCATTCCTCTGGGCTGAGAGGAGGGACAGGCCTGATGGTTTCTGCTCAAGGCTTGAGAAAGTTTGGAAAAATGGCTCATGTTTAAAAGAAAAAGAAAATTCTAACACCTTCCCTATACCCACATAAATGGGAGATTGAAACCAGAGACTTCACACAGAGCCACAGCTCCAGCCCTGTTTTCATTCTC